CCTCGCTTTGGGCGATCTACGAGACAGAAGGAGGCAGATGGGTCTTTGTCACTGCAAAGAGCCTTATGCGATTAACTTGGTTTAAGGATCAAAGAAAGCAACACAACAATAACATCATATAAAATCGTACATGCAAGCAATTGTCATGGGTCCATACTTTTCCATATTATGTTTCCTTGGAACTACAGCTTAGAGTATTTGCCAAGGACAAATCCAGTGGGGAGTCTTGTATAATCCTTTGTATATATATATATATATACTAACATGTGATATCATTGTGATAATAAATATGTGTATACATATAATTAGTATATATATGAGGCAACCTCAAAATTATCATCAACCACTTTAGTAAGGGACGTTTCATCTCTGTGTTGCTTTCGTGATTTTCCTTGAAAAACGATAGGGGACTGACAAAAAACGATACCCCTATGTATACATACTTGCAAAATCCAAAACCATGGAAAACGATAGGGGACTGACAAAAGTGAAACGAAAACACTCCAAGCATATATTTTTGACGCTAACTCATATATATATATATACACATGTGTGCTGGGTGGGTTGGCTGGACGACCTTCCAGAGGGAGAGAGAACTCGTGGGACGGATGCCTTGTTGAGGATTTGCTTGTCAGCTTGACAAAGTGTATCGAGCAGGCAGGGAGGTCTTCTGCTCGATCAAGTTGCAGTAGTTTCTGGTTTAGTGTGGGGTGGAAGCAAAGGCCAACCTGATTTATAATGATTAATATTATGAACCGACAAAGAAACTGTAGTTGAGTCTCCACAAGCAAGGAAGTGGTCCCTCCCGCGCTTGCTTGAACATGCCGGTGGGGTGAGGGCACCGAGTCAAGATTTGGAGAAGACCTTCGAGAGACCTTTGGTAAGCCCCCTGAAATGTACTTTGGATTTGGCTTGCAGGGACAGGCGAGTGCTTTTAAGCACGTCATCTCATTTCTCGATTGCTTGGGGATGAGAAAGCTCCTCACCAAAGACATTCAGATTCAACCGTGGTCTTTTATTGTGAGTTTTTCGTTGAAATGTTCACAAACACGACCCTCTTTGGAACGTTCCCACCTTCCTCAGTGGAACACCCAAACCGGTTGCACCGCTTGGGCCAAACGGTTCGGTGTTTCCGCTCCGCTCCTCCGGATTTTGCGGCGAGGCGGTGCAGAACGAGTTCGGTGACATCAAGGCATGGGACGTCTACTTAGCCGCCACCACCGAGAAGGCGCCTGCGACCGTGGACGTGCGTGCAAGGGTGGGGTGCGGGCTGGGGGGGCGGGCTGGGGTAGAATGTGGTAGATGGACTTCGTTGGTTCAGGATGCTTTTTGGGGGTGGCATGGGTGGAAACGAGTCTCTGAAGGAGAAAGGCATGAGCCAACAGTGAGCCAGCAAGAGCGTGTGTTGGAATTGAATTGGATAATAACTTTTTGTTGGCAATAGGACCATTCAAGGAGCTGAAGAAGCAAGGAAGAAGGCGGTCAATGATACTACAAAAAACTGGACCAAGAAAGGTGGACCAAACAAATTGCGGGGTTAGTTAGACCCACTTGCAGAAAAATGGGCCGGTTGGTTCATCAAGCCCAAACTCAATGTGGTCAGCTGCCCACTTGGCGTTTTGGAAGATGGATCAGATCACCATCGTTCGCCATGTCAGAGCTACAAATGTCTACAGGCATCGCATCGTTTGTTCCAGCGTGTGCTGCGTGAAGGCTCGGAAGGTGGCTTCAGAGCATTTGAAGCAGAGCTCCAAGAAGTTGAGGAGGAGCAGCCACCCGGGGAGAGGAAACCGCTGAACTCGCCGAACTCACATGACCATGGCGTTCGAGATTTTGGGACGTGGAGTTGTTCCCTACCTAACTACCATGGGACCCAGCCTGGCACAAACAGCTGGCACACATAGAAACAAGTATCCGTGTTGACAAGGAAATAGATGTAGAGAAGTAGAGCTGAAGAGTTTGTGGAGAGATTGGGTGCAATGAAAAGTCTACTTGTGCTGCATGCTGGACAAAACATCACTGGATCTATGGATATCTATTTCATTTGTACCTACATTACTACATGGAGGTGGTTTCAAGGATCAATGTGTACAGACCTGTATTCAATATGTGGAGTGTCGCGGATGTATATATATACTGTATATATATATATTTATACACAGTATTTATATATATATCAGAGAAATTTGCTGGATAGTTTTCACGACAGCAGAGCTGTTTGATTTTTGTTGGTTTGAGAACTTTTTTGAACCCTGCCGCACTGGTCAGTGGAGGAAGCAGAACGTTGGGCGGATCATTTAAGAACTGCCCGACCCATGGGTCGCTCGTGCACATAGTGCTACCCGTTCATCGTCGCTCGGGGGTTCCTCACTTCAAGACATACCATGTTGATCCATGTTGGTGTTGTGGAACGCATGTGTCATCCGAGGGTTGGATGATGTGGGGTGTAGAAATGCGACAAGCAGCAGCAGACTGACCCATCCAAACAGAGCGTGAGCCTTGTTGAACAGGTAATGTCGTTGATGTGTTTGTCCGATTCACTGGAGTGATCGGATGCACCGAGCCCAAAGCCACCTCTCGTCAACTGAAGTTGAAGATCCTGCATTCTATGGAGACGACAGATGACCAAGTGAGAGCATCCTGTTCTGATCTACTGCTATGATTTGCAATGGTCCCATCAACTCTATGCAGTCAACAAAATGTGTCCATCAACCCATATCAACCCTATGAACAGAAGATGTCATGCGTCGCATGCGTTGATTTTTCTACATTTTTCTCCCCTTACAGGCAAGCTACATCTCCGCACATTTCCCCTCCGTGTCCTTAAGCCACAGGGCCTTCATACAAACATGGCAAAACATATCACATCCGGCCTGTATATATACATATATATATATATATTCAGATCTGCCAGGGGAATAACGTGGGTGTCCCAGCCGAGTCCCAAAATCAACCACAATTAGCGTGGTTCCCGTATGTCTTTTTCCGCAGAAAGCCTAGCTACTTACCTTACCCACGTGGTTTTTCGGCGGCGACGTGCCTGCGATTTCCGGCACCGAACTGTCACTCCCTCCCTGCTCCCCGCTCCCTCGCGGGTTTGTTTTTTGTTGCGGTACTTTGCACACATCCTCAGAATCCTCTCCTTGCCGAAGCTGGAGCGGAACCGTCACACGGGCTCCGGCGCGGTGGATTCCATGGCCGAGGTGGACAGACAAAGAGCGACGAGAGTTTTGTGCAGCGAACCCCCCGGGTGTCCGAAAAAGAGGTTTTAGCAAAAAGACATCCGTTACAGACATGTTGAGACCCATGAAGCAATGAATTTGAGCTGGAGTTTTACTTTGAGTAAGGGGTGTGGCGGGGCCACGGGGG